TTTCTGCAGCCACCTGGAGCTTAATTGCCACTTAAAGGAATTATCTTCAGCCTTTTTCCCCAAGAAAAACAACTTTGTACAGAGCAGAGAGACAGATAGGAAAACAGGTTGGAAATTGCCTTGTAGATCACTTTTCCATCCCTTCCATGTTCACAGGAAAAGAAAATAAAAACAAAATGCAATCAACAGGGACAGGGAAGAAAAGAGTTGCTGCAGAGTCTGAGCCTCCAGAAGCTGGAATAGGAAAGAATGGAACCATTCAAGCATCCCCTGGTGTGGTGGTCCTTCCTCAGCTCCCTGCAATTGGTCCAGTCCTGCGTCTCACCAAGCACACCCTTGTGCCATCTCTCAGGGTAGGTTCTTCTGCTTTTGGTGTTATCATAATTAATGGTTTTAGGGAGTTCTCCCAGCATTTGATAATCTTGACTAGGATTCTGCCAGGAAGACAATTTCTTCTCTCCTTTAAAGAAAAAAGGAAGCTCTTTTCTCTTTCATATATACCAGAATAACTCCTGGCTGAAATGAGCTACTTGCAGTTGGAGAAAGGCACTGCACTGACAGGCTGGAAAACCAACAACTTACGATTAAGCTACAAAAAAAGTCACCTCCCCACTGATGGTGGAGGCTTAGCAGCAGGAGACTCTTCTCTTCCAGAATCCTTTTGCTGCACAAAAACCTTCAGAGGAAGTTGTCAGAAGCCAGGAATAGCAGGCCTAGCCTAGTGTGCCCAGAGCTTAAACTAGCCCTAGCTCAAACCTCAAGTTGTTTTTATACTCTCTTCCTTGTCCTCAGTCATACTAAATGGCACCATGTTCAGACTCCTTCTGAACATCTCCCTGAGTGAGGGATCCAGGCCTCCTTCCAATGGACCTCACTGCAGTGCTATGGATGGATGCCCTTCAGTAAGAGTGGTTTTCAGTGCTTAGGGCTGTAAAACAAGGCTCCAGTTCCTCCTCCTTTCTATTTTTCTCCATTTATTCCTAATGCTGGTATCTCGTCAGTCTATGAATGGCACTCCTATGTTCCTGTTTCTCCCTCTGTACCCAACAGTCTCTGTACACGTTGATCCATGCACATTATCAGTTCAGTTCTCAGCATATGGTTTTCAAGCACTTGCTTTCAGAAGCACTAAAATCACACAAAATATTCCAGACTGTTCCCTGTAAGCACTCTTTGATTCACAATCAAGAGCTGTCACCAAAGGCTTTGTATTTAAGAAACACGTTGTGACTTCTTTCACAATTAAATATTTTAACTCAAACCGTTCTCTGAAAATGACCTTGGAAGTAAACAGACAGTAGGAAAGTCCTCAAACTATCGCCATGAAAAGGGATTGTTTCAAGAATGGCACAGGTCACTCAGATGTGCATCCGAGGCGTTCGTCTCCCGGAGGGGTGAGATTGCCATTTTGGAAGTATCCACTTTTTGGGAAATAACTCATTCTGAGCAGGAACCACCCCAGGTCCAGAGGCTTTGTACCTCATACTGTCTTGCTTTTGTTTTCCTGGCCTTCATCCTTAGCTCCTGTCTATTGGTATCTCTTAACAGAAGTCAGCTGAGATACTTCTCTGAGGCCCATTTACTTCTCACTTCTGCTTTCCCTCTGCTTCCAAGCAGACATGGATAAAATAAGCCTTTGGTACACAGCAAACAGAGTTATAGAGACTGTGAGCAACAAGTTAACTGGAGCTTTTTTGTGTGTATCAACAACTGTCAGGGCTTTTATTCCAGGTGATTCTGTGAAGAACAGAAATGAGATAGCAAGACTTTACATGGCACAGAAAATCTGCAGTGCCAGCAGTGAGAAAGCTCTTATAAATTAAGTATAGCTGACCCGCAGGAATAAGCCTAAGGAAGAACAAGCCATAATAATCACAGCTCTTTTAAAGCCTCTGTTTCGTTAGAGAGTCTTGTACGGCTTTATAAAATCAGGCAAGTATTTATTATAACAACTTACAGAAGGGAACATAAAGGCCCTGAGAGGTCGTAGCTGGCACATTCAGATGCTGGTTGAGATCCACGTGTGCTTTGTTGCTAATGACCCAGAAAAGCACGATTGCTCATGTCTCATGTGGAACACAGGGAAGCAGTCGTACACAGGGACCATTTGTGAAAACCTTGCCAATTAACTTCCTCGGTACCCCACAGAAAAACAGTAAGAGAGAAGTAGAAACAAGCCTTGTTGACAGCACTGCTGCCCAACCTCTGCTGCCCACGAGAGGGTTGCAGATGAGCAGCAGAGTCCTTGAAGAAGGAAGTCCAAGCAAATGGTTACCTAACTTCCACTGAGCTCTTCACCTTTGAAACATTCTCCATATCTGTCATTACTGTTTTGGGTGGTTACCAGCAGGATTTCTATTTGAATAATGGCTTTGTCCCTCCCTGAGTCATATCAAATTAGGCTTCAGTTTGTTTGTGTCTTCTTGTCTTAGTTAAGGTACACTTTTCTGATTACCCAAAGGGAAACACAACGCATATTAAAATGTGAATTATGTAAGGAGCTGGGGTAACTGATATTCTAGGGAAGGGGCTGCCATGGCTGCGTGTCACTCAGATACTGTCCTTTTCCAGTGACTTTCATCCAGGAAGTCTATTTTGCAGCTCAGACATTAATTAGTGCTCTCATTTTCCCCATGAGCAACAGGCTCCCATTGCCAGCTGCACAGAAGCACAGAGAGGAGCAGAAATTTGTGGGGACAGAGAGAGGCACGATTTCCTGTTCAGATCCATTTGGAAGAGTTACAGCTCCGTTCTGACCGTCTGAATGCAGCCAGAGCAGAAGTATGGCCGTACTTTGCTTATCTGCAAAAAGCCTCCCGTGTACCCACAGAAAGAGCTGGCTCTGACCACTGCTGGTGGGAAGACAAATTTAGGATACGCTAAGGAAAGTGGAATAGCAGTGCTCTTCTTTGACCTGAGCTCAATCCACTGCACTGTTGTGTGAACACAGAGGAACAGGAGCAAGTTTAAGTGACTCCAAATCTAAGCGTGATACTTGAGACTCATCATTTATATTCTGAAAGTGCTAGCAAGAGCAGGGCTTATTTGTTGATGTTTGTTTGCAGAGGTTTATTTGTTTGAAAAGGCTAATCAGCTATCAGGATGCAGAGGCAATTGCTTAAATGTAAAGGAAAAGGAAGGAATTGTTCAAAGCTATTCAGATGAGGTAGCATGGTTTGCGTTTTGATGTCGGTGTGCAACCAACTGACAAATGCTGAGCCAAGTCTGGTGTAAATCCAGATGAATTCCATTAGATTCAACAGACTCGCTTCCAATTTATTCTGATGTAAGAGAGAGCATGATATTTCCATTTAGATTTACATTAGATTTGTTTCCTGTTTTCCATAATTCAGTCAGTTTCCATTGTGTACAAAAACAGCCTGCGCCAGATTTTGATCTCATTTGCATTGGATGAAAACAGTTGTTTCAAATGGAACTACACTGGATTTATAATTGCATAAATGAGAGCAGAATCTGATCTATTCTCAGTGAGAATTTCCCAGGGCGTTGCCATGTGAGAACACCCCTGCTGTGGTGGAGTGATCAGGTGCTTTGTCATCAATTTCCATGGAGAATTTTCATCTCAGTCCTGGACTGGAGCCCTGAGTGTGACATGACAGCTGCTGTGCTGCAGACCGAGGTACAGAAGCCCCTCTCCTTCAGAAGATGAGCTCGCAAGCCAGCACTGCCACCATCCCTTCACCAGGAGTGAACACTGTGCGTTGGCTTAGAAGATAAAAACAGAAAGAGCTCAGTCTTGCCTGGCACAGCTCTTCTTCAAACGATGTGTTGGCTCTGATATATTTCATTTGTCACACACGTTATTTTTAAGCCAAGTTCTCTGTGTTGTCTTTTGCTTCCTCCCCTGAGGCCTTTCTGACTCCCCTTGTTCAGCTGCAATTAGAAATGTTAGGAGCAACACAATGATTCTCTGGCAGATAAGGCTATCTCTGTTCTGATGGCTACACTGCTAGCAATAGATTGGGTTATTACTAATAACTAATAAGATGGTTATTCCCAGCAACGTGGGCCATCAGATGGATTTACTTCTCCCCACTGAAGCTGCTTATTTCACTGCTACTGGGAAAATAAGGCCATTTAGAGTCATTAATGGCAGTTGCAAAGGCTCTTCTGAGTAGATATACGAGCTGTGTTGCCATAGCTTCTCGGATTACTTTGATCCCAGCCCGTCCATCTGGCTTCATGGCCTCACTCTTATTCCTTGCTCTCTTGTAGGAGTCACTGTTTCAATGGGACAAGAAAGGTCGTTACAGTCATTCTGGATCTTACAGGTACTGGACAGGCTTAGCTGACCCTTAATTTGCCTTCTGTCTATCAGCCATCAACGTGCGAAGCATGGATAGGCCCCCTTCGAGTGCTGAGAGATGAGTCTTGCTATGAAAACATGCACCTCAACTCTTTGTTACCCAGGGCCTGGGGAAATGCAAAGCTGATGTGCAGTAAAAGCAGCTACACCAGCAGCATACCACTATTATATCAGTAAGGCTTGGCATTTTAAGTGAAGTCATACCTCTTCCATGTGCATTTGCAGGACTGCTGTGCGATTAATTCCAAAGAAACTATAGTTTCCTTTATAAATTTAAATATTTCTCTTAATTTATAATGCTTCGCATCAGACGTTGGAAAGACAACAATGGCAAGAACTACAGCAACACCACCAATGTCAACAACATGCTTACAAGGACATCAGTATTAGGAGCACATTATGTGGCAGATTGAAATTTCAGCATCTCCACACTTCTCTCACCACGTCATCTCAGCCCTGTGCAGAGAGACTGGAAATTACCCCATGGGTTTGGCCTGCAGTATAGAAAACAGAGCTGTGGAAAAAACAAGGCAATCATCAAATTTCCAGTTGTCTGTTAGGTTTGCACACACACACATTATCGGGGCCCGCGAGTGCCTACAGGCAGTCTTACACAGAGCAGCTCGTGCCCATAAAACACAAAGGCACACCGGGTTCTCTTCTGTCTGATGCTTCGCAGCGAGCAGCAACTGAGCAGGACCCATCACGCAGTAACAAAGGCTGACATAAATACTTATTTGTGATTTGGTTCCCCATGGTTTTTATTCCACTGTGCAATTTGCATTACAACTGGATCCTAATTGTCCATTTTAGCAAGCAAAGAGCAATCTGATACAGATTATAATACATGAGGTGAAGCAGACCCGTCACAAAATAAGTGCTGCCAGCCAAGGGCAGCCTTCTCTCCTTCTCTCCCAGTTGGAGACACTGGCTGATTAAGCAACTGGGCAGCGCTGCCTGGAATTGACATGAGCCCAAGGAAAAAAAAAAAGAAACAGGACAATGGGAGCCTGCTCACAAAGCAGAAATGCCCCGGCCCCTTTCTGCAGTGTTTCCTGGCACTCCTGAGAATCTGAGGCAAACAGCTCTGAGGTGATGTAACGCTGCTGTCCCAGTGAAGGACCACCAGTGGCCCCATGGAGGAGATGCAGCCACTACATGTGTGCAGTGCTTCAGGGGCACAGAAAGCCTCAAAGGAGACGGGACACAGTGTGCTGGAGACCCTGAGTTCCACCACATTGAGGTCTCCTGTATGTGAGAAAACCTCTGTATTCCCAGGGCTGCCAGTGCAGACTCATTGATTAGAAGGCAGGGCAGGAAATTAAATGAGGCAGGTGAATTAAAGCCAGACTTCACAGGCTGCATCTGTTCCTCCATTCCCTCTGGGTACAACACTGATGTAACTTCAAAAAGTAAATTTAGTGTTGAGGAAAGCTGCCAGACTGATGGCCCTGTAAACAGAAGCGCTCGATGCATCCGCGACGGGTAGAGGGGAGGAGCAGAACTGCAGCGTGCCTCAGCCTGGCTGCTCTGCTGGAGCACAGCAGCTGCTGCAGATGGCCCTGCCTGGGCTTGTCTTCTGTCCTGCAGCTCAGGAAAAGCAGCTGGTTGGGAAGGCCTGGCTGCAGCTGTGAGTAGAGGTGAATGCAGCAGCAAAGAGCAAACAGTAACGCTCTCGGTGATGCCCCAACAATAGGAGGATCCCGAAGATAAGCAGCGCTGCTGACAAGAAGAAAGCCCATCCGTGGTGCTGCACATGAAGCTGCAGATGTCTCCACCTTGCAGTACGCCCAGGCTGGCACGCAGATGGGAGCTTGCACACCTTTCAGCTTCAGTCCTCAGTCTTGTCCACACCTGTGTTAACAGAGAAAAAGGGAGAACTCTATTTCAGAGCGGTTCTTACTATCAGCATCTTTCCTGGTATTTGCACATACAACAGCAGCCCTGTCCTCTGCAGCCTGAAGAGCCTGGCTGTATTTTTTGTGGACCTAGATGAGCAAAGAGAGTCAGGACATCTCACGTGAGACCTATTTCACCACCTGAGTGGTGCTCAGAAGATCTGAAGCATGTCTTTGGCCCTTTGGAGACCCAATCTGCTTCTTGACCAGACTCAGGTAAACCCCAAAGGTCTAAATTACATTGTAAAATGTGTAAAAAGAGCTCATCTCTTCTGTGAGCTGCTGAGTGGTGTGATCACAGCATTGAGCAATCACTGGGGATGCCTGGAATTGAGGAGTAAGAGGCAATGTGGGGGGGATGGGCAGTAAAAGAAGCAGAGGGGACAAGTGAGTAAGAGACAGGACTGCCTTTCTGGTCCTCCCTGGTCCTCCCATCCCTGAGAAGTGGCACAGTCCTATCTTTAAAGCATTAAAAATCTCCTGAAGGAAAGAACAATAGTCAAAGAAAAAGAACAGTCAGCTCTTGTTCCTCAGAGTGCAGCCTCTTTTCTTTTATATCTTGCACTGGATTATTCCATAGAGGGAAAAAACAGAAACACCTCAAATAGATCCAGTTAGTTTTACCTCTTTTCATGCTATACCTGTGGCTGTTTGCAGGTGGTTTGCTTTTTTTCTTCTTTTTCCCATGTGATAAGATCCATCATTTGAAGGACAGCAACCAAACCAGCTTTTCTTGCTCTGAAGAAAGGCAGCAACTGCACTTAGAATAAAAGATTGTCAGGCAGATCTGAAGTGTCAATCAAAGCCTATCTCTGCAAAAAACATTATTCCAAGCAGCTCCATACACCACCACAGTTAATTTATTCTTTCCAGATATTCTCCTGAGCTGCAGAAAGACTTCCAGCACTGACCAAAGCCGCCAGCTGCAGGCACGAGATGTCAGGGCAGAGACTGGGCAGAATTCTGCTCAGGCCACTTTGCCTTCTGCAGAGCACAAAACTGCGATTATCAGGACCAGCAGTGATCTCCCAGACTTTGGGAGACAAACCGTACATTCTACCAGAAGACAGACATTGGTTCAGGATTCTGAGTGTTGCTGAATGTGTCCCATCTTCAGTGGCATGCCTCCACTTTAATGTTATTGTTAAATTTAAATTACTACTTATGGCTGCACTGGGCTGCGCGAGGCACTTTTCAGGCTCTCAGAAAAGCGCTGGCTGTGCTCCAAGTCTCATTATTACAGGACAGACAGACAGGAGAGGCGCCGCGTGGTGAAGTGGCAGCAATGCTGACCCACCAGCACTGCGCTGGGTGACCTTGGAGAGGCAAATCCCTCCCTTTGTCCATCTCTGCTGCTTGGGCTGGAAGCTCCTCAGCCGTGGCTGTGCTCACCTCTGTCTATCCCAGAATCTCGTTCTGTGCAAAGTCCAAGGAAGTGTGTGGGGAAATACTGGAAAAAGGGGGAAAGAAAGTCCTGGAAAATGAGAAGCTCCATTTTCTATGGTGTTTCTTCAAATTGAACATTTTCTTGTCACCAAAAAAATCTGGAAAGGCACATTCTTCAGTTGAGCAACAGAAAATGCAGGCTTAGGGGTTCGGTACACGGTTGTTAATCAGCAAAACTTTCTGGGGAATGTACTGTAGTGCTTAAAGAAACATTCATTCTGTCCTGAACATAAGTTTGAACCTAAATGTGAGTTGTTCTGTCAGCAGGGGGACTGGTGAAACCCACTCATCTGATTTATGTATTACAGCTGCTTTTTATTTTCACTCCCCTTCTTGGTGCTCCCAGTATCCCCAGGGTCCCTCATCCCCTCCCCAGCAAAGCCTGCAGCTCTCCCAGCAGCCTCCTGCCCTGCAGGCACAGCACAGCGCAGCACTGATTGAGCAGCCGCCCTCTAAATGCCAGCTGACCCGGCTGCTGCACCTCAAACCAGATAGGAGCAGAGATGCAATTACCAATCCTGCAATAGGATATTAACTTAAATATCTGCCTTCTATCCAGCTGCTGCTTCTTCACAAAAATTGCAGGAATCTTGGATCTGTGAGACCTTTCTGTCAAACTGGGTACAGTCAGGTCAGCTGGTTCAGGAGTTGGGGCACTGGCACAGAGATGGGAGAACAGCACAAGAAGGTTTGCTGCTCTATAAGCCCCATCTCAAAATAGGGTCATCTTGGTATAACAGTGTGGCCTTAACGTCAGGCAAGGCAGCCCCATAGCAGCGACAAGCCAGCCTCTGTCCTTGGGGTATATAAAGGCTGTCAGGCACCAGGACTGTTCTGAGTGCACTTAACACTTGTTTGCTGGACAGAGCTACCAGCCTGGAATTCAGGGCCACGTAGGAACTGCTCAGAAGCACAAACAGTCCCTACCCTGAGCCACTTACAGTTCGGTGGACGAAGAGTAGGAGAAAAGGGACAACAAATTATCTCAGACTTGCACATAGGAAAACAAAGGCCAACTTACTGAGGAGTCCTGTGAGGGGTTGGAAAGAGGCTCGGATGTCAACCATTCCCATCAGAGGCCCTCAGCAAAGCTCACCTCAGCTCCTTCTTGCTTCTCCACCCAGGCAGGATTTACCTTTTCACGGGCATTTCACTCTGATTCATTGCCCTCAGGAGCTGAGTCAGCCTAACCCACGCTTCTCCTTGGGCAGCTCGGACCACAAGGCTTGCTGATGAGGAAATGTTACTTGTAGTTGTTTGGGGGTTAATTATTCATAGGCACTGTGCTTAAAACACGCAGAGCTGCTTTTGAACAGTCCTGGAGCTGGCGTGCAGGGAAGGACTTACCAGCGCCCGTGGCCACGCTGCCGTTCCGTGGCCAGGCTCCCTTCCATCTGCTTCCTTTCAGCCCTTGTCACGCTCCCCGTCTCCCATGGCTTTTGCTGTGCTCTTTGGCATTATCTGCATAAGAAAGACGCAAATACTTGGAGCATTGTAGACATGCAATCAGAAATGGCATTTGCCCAAGGAGGCGCTGACCCAGGCAGGGATAGCATACCAACCTGATCCTCTGATGCATTTGTTTTTCCAATCAATCTAAGCCACTTCCAGGGTTTCACACCTGCTTTTCCTGCTGCAGAAGTTGCCCTCACCCCTGCTTGTGACCATCTGCAGCTGCCTGGGAGCTTTTTTACCCAGAAGCAAAGCTCCTGGAAATCCATTTTTCATCTCAGAACAGAGCAGCCCACAGCTTTAGGAGCACTTCAAGGATGTTTACAGTGAGACAGCTTGAGTTTCTCAAGGCTCACTCACCACTGTGCATTAGCACTAAACAGTGGTTTTCAGCCTTTCTGGGTTGCAGTTCCATAAACATTTTCTGACAGGGGTACAGACCCCGCATGGAATACATAAGCTTAGCAGAAGTAGGATTACTTCCTAAGTTGCTCTTCTGAGGATCCTTAGGAATCATCGAGGACAACCCCCCGGCATCTCCAGAACACGGGCTGAAGCTCTTGAAAATTTCTAGGGGTACCCTTCAGGACCAGCATTTGCTTAGAGAGCTCATTATCCTGGCTTGGAATGCAACCAAAATACCTGGGGCCCATAGGCAGCAGCTCTGCCAGGCACCAGCCTGCCCTGCTGAGCCAGTAAGTGCAGGGCTGAGTCTCCTGATCCCTGTGAATTGTTCTTTCCCATTATGCAGGTAAGAAACTGAGTTTGTGCTGCAAACACTTGATGAGAACTTTGAGAAGCTCAAAGTTTGTGAGGGGGTTTTCATTGGGTCCCAGCACAGGACACAGCCTCGCTGATAATAACCGCTGTCTGGGTTTTCTGCAAGAACACCAAAACAACATTCATACTGCAGCACTTGTTATTCAGTTAACATTTCAGCAGACTGTGGGACAGAGGAGAGAGCATTTATCCCAACTGGGTGAAATCCCCTGCTGAGACGAATCAGCACAGCTACAAAGAAGTCCGGGAGGCTGTGCCATATTACACCAGAAAAGAACCTGGTTTGGAATATGCTTTCAAATCATTCATTTTTTTGCCTAGAGCCAAGACAGGCATCTCTTGCCACCAGGGGACACCTATTAGCTCAGTTTCATCTACTGAAATCCCATGCAACTGCACAGGAAAGGAATTCAGACTCTCTGGACTACGTTCTCTGTGATGCAGCCCTCTGCTTTCATTAAATGAACTTCATGGGCTCACCAGTAGGCAACTCAGCTGAACACTGGTGCTGTTTTCTGGCCTGCGCTGTGCTGGAGGTCAGCAGAGACAACTGCAGAGCTCCTTTCAGAACTTAAAAATCTTTTAACTGATTTCAGGAGTTTACACCAGCAGAGAGCTTGGCCATGAGTAATACACGTAAATATTACTTTTAGCCACAGAGATGGAGAAGTCAGTCTCCCACCTGGCTGTTGCCTCAGTAACGTATCTCTAGGAGGATGTTTTTTAAGCCAGTGTTATTTATCCAGTAGATGGAAGCAGACCTGCTAAGGCCATACCAGGTCAACATATGTTTAAGCATGTGCTGAGGAACTTAATTAGTTCTCCCTGAGAAGAGAGACTCCCAGTGCTATTTAAAGGATCGTTATCCTGATGTGAGATGCCTTGGAGCCTGCTGCCAAGTCTCAGCTTAAGACAGCAGGTCTGCAGTTGTCTGGGAGTGGGACATCTCCCCTCCACACGGAAGAGCAAGAGCTGAGCAGCCCCAGGTGCTGCAAGGTCAGTGCAAGGAGCAGGCATCACAAAATCACTCTGAAATCCAGCACTGAGGGATTTAATTCATGCCTGGGCTGTAATGCTGGCTTTCTGAATGAGGTCAGACTGTGTAGACCCCATTATTTTTCTGATTTCCCTTTGGAGACCAGCAGTATCTGCAGCAGCCTGTGATTCCAGAGAGTGTGAGCAGAGGTGACAGGACAATGGAGAGCTGCAAGCCTGGAGCGAGCTATTGCTGAGTGTGTGTGCAGAACATTGATCCTTATGCCACTGGGAGAGTCACATGTAGGCAGCAGTTTCTTAGCATCAGCTAAACTGGACATTATGCAGGTGGCTCGGTCATAGCTTTCATGCCAAGTTATAATTTATGAGGCCAAAAATCACAAACTGTAAACTGAATGGCAATATGGGAATTAGCTGGGTTCCCCACAGATGGATGGTTCTGCTGTTCTGCCAGGAGGTGACTCCTTTGGACCTTTGGAAAGCTGGCTGAGCAGCACTGAGAGCTAAAGCAGAGTCCCAAGCAAATGAAGGCTCACATAAGCAGTGCTGCTCACCAGGGACACTGGGGCTGCATTGCAGAAGAGGGGGAATCCTGGATGTGCTTATCTTGACCTAAGAGTGGCTTACAGAGCCCGTGGCACCTCGCTGTGCTCTGGGAACTCTCAGGAGCCGTTCCGAGATGAGTTGTTATGGTAACTGAGCTAATGCCCCGAGATGGATGTTTTCAGGTGGCTTCGGGCCAGAAATTCAGCACCAAGAGATTCCAGATAATAGACTTCTGCTAAATTCAGTAATGGCATCTACTTTATTTAACCTATTCACCAATGACTTACTGAACTCCATTCTCCGGGCAAACCACGAATGATGAAAATAGCTGCTTGGCCTCAATGAACTTTGTCTTTCAAAAGACTGAGGGGTTCCTATGAGCTTCAGCTGAGTCTGTGCCAGTAAAATAAGTGTGCCTGGGATCGAATGGCTGCTGTTTTCATAGCAAATTCCTACCCTCCAAACCTGCGTGGTCACATCCAGACAGAACACATGGAGTGGGACAAAATACTCCAGCAGTGTAACAGAGAGCAGCCCTGGCACTGGCTGATTCCTTGACTGAAAGCGGCCACATGCAAGAAAGGAGCAAAGCGCGAAGGCTCTGTCAGTGTGCTTGTGCCTGTCCCATGTCCAGAGCCAGCTGGAGCCGTGCATCCTCAAGGACAGTCAGCAGCAGGAGCTCGGCGTGCCTGGGATTCGCTTGGATTGCCTATTGCTGTCCTCTATTAGAAACAACTCCAGAGGTCACGAAGCTAAAAGCCTCCATGGCTTACAAGGTGGATTTGGGGCAGTACCCCTCACCTCACATCTAGCATCCAAACGCAATCACTGAGCTTACCAACAAGGAGCAGGCAGTGCCTTACAGCCACTCCCAGCCCAGGGAGCCCTGGTGGGTTGGTGCCGGAGCAGCAGGGCAGCTCTCTGCACAGCTCAGGAGGAGCCGCGCCAGTTTCAGGAACTCCCACATCCCCACGGACCCGCCGAGCAGCTGCCTGGCGCTGGGGCCTCGCGCCGCTTCCGCAGCGAGACAAACTGGTTCTGCCCTGGCGTGGTCCACAGTGCCAGCACTGATCGTGCCTTGGGCAGCTGGGACAGCCTGTGCCTGCCCTCGTGATGCTGCGGCGTTTGTGCTGCATGGCTGCTCTTCGCATGTTGGGGCTCCCAGGTGGTCTCCCCACGTGGACACCGATGGCTCCAACACCTCAAGGCCACCGAGATGGAGGGATTTTACCTCTGCAAAGTTCACTCACATTTCAGGTCTTGCCTTGCTTGTTTTGCCCGCTTGCAAGCTGTGTTACTCTAATATGTAGCTCTCTAGGGTGGAAGCTGTTTTTCTGCATGTTCTTTGCTAGGCTTCTCCTGCAACAGGATTGCAATCTTAATCAGTGCAGCATAATATGATTAACAAGCTTCTGCGCAAGTGGGAATTGCATTCCTAGTGGATGTGATTTGCCCAGTTCTGGCCTGTCCATGTGTTTTCTTGGGCTGAGAGGTCGTGTTGACTGAACTCCAGAACAGTCCACTCAGACTTTTGAGCATTAAGATCCAAATGAATTTCCAGCATGAGCTGCTATGCTGATCCCTTTCCTGCCAAGCTGAAGCCTTAAGTGAATTTTTATGGCTAAGTTATAAACCCTAGAAAACATGAGCAAGAAGTAGAAATGCTGAGTTGGCCTTTGCTAAATGCCAATTATCTACAAAGGCATTAAGGGTGGAGGGATGAAAAATAGGGTCATTTTCATGTTTTCTCAAGTTTAAGTAAACTGTCTCATGAGCCCCTTATAGGAACACACAGCAGAGTGACCATCCATATTTATAGGCACAACACTGAGCTGCAGACCTTGGCAATCAGAGCAACTCCACTTTGGAGAGGTATACAGCTCTGCTTGGCTGGCCTCTCAGTGCAAAACATAGGGTAGGGACACCAAGATTTTCAGGGAGAACTTAAGAACAGATGCTGACTTTTGATGGAGTGGGTCCACACTTACTGAGTTGGTGTAACACTAAAACCAGCTCTTAAATCCTTGGGTTGCTGGGTTCTCTGCTCCTGTGGCCCTTATTCCCTGCGGTTTCCCACCCTTGATTAAAAGTAGTGCATCCCACAGACGGTACTGGAGTGACACAGAATGGGATCACGGAACAGTTTGGGTTGGAAGGGACCTTACAGACCATCCAGCCCCCAGCCCTTGCCATGGGCAGTGACAGCTCCCTGTAGACCAGGCTGCCAAAGACACAAGCAGCTGGGATGGGCACCTCCAGAGATGGGCGCCTCCAGCTCTTCTGGGCAGCCTGTGCCAGGGCCTCACCACTCTCCAAGTGAAGAATTTCTTCCTTATACGTAATCTAAATCTCCTTTTTTAGTTTAAATCCATTCCCCCTCATCCTCTCACTACAGGCCATAGTAAAAAGTCTCCCCCCATCTTTTTCACAAGCCCCCTTTAAGTATTGAAAGGCTGCACTAAGGACTCCCTGGAGCCTTCCTTTCTGGAGGCTAAACAGCCAACATGGTTTTATAATACCTAAAGATCTGGTCCAATAATCTTAAGGCTTGAAATGGTGCTGTAATCTCAGCTGCAATGCAGCACCTGCCTTCTCCCGCCCTGTATTTCCTAATGCCCAGCTTAATTGACAGAGAGCACCCTCAGAACCAGCCCTGTGTGCTGAGGATCTGGCAGGGCGCTGAGTCACGGAGCTGCGCTCAGCCCAGGGCCAGGCACCAAGCAGGGTGCGGGCTGCTGCCAAACCAACAGCACATCCCAGAGACAGCAAGAGGAGGTCGTGCGCTGTGAGTATCTCAGGCACTCCCTGAGCCAGTGGAGAAAGGTGTCCCCAGCACCTGGGCACTTGGCAGTCGTGCCACACAAAATAATCTGGAAGTGGCCGAGGTCGTCATGGCCCAGTAATCCTTCATGTGCAATAACATGAGGAAAGATGTGAGTTAAGGGAGAGACTGTCTGCCCACCACAGTGCTCCCAGCCCTGGGAAAAGGAATAAAAGAATACACAGAGGTGCTTGCTTAAGAGCTGGGAACGTTTTTATGAAATTAAAGACAAAAAAAAACAAAAAAAGCAACAACCACAACAACATTATAAATCCTGCTCCTTCCTTCTCATACTCACAAAAATTGAGCCCAAATGCTGAGCAAGAGGCCTTAAATTTTCAAAAGTGAGCAAACTTTCAGAGATACCCTGAACTCAGCACACTGGGGTCGGGACCTCCTGGTGAGTTTTGCAATGCTGCATTTAAACATTGTTTTTTTGAAGACTGTGGAAAGGTCCACAGCACTTTATGGAGCATAAGCATGTGTGGTCCATCAGCTGAGTCCCTCTGAATCCTATCCTACAACAACAAATATATGTTGTTGCTAATGGCTCCTGCCATTAAAAACAAGGTAAAAAGGAGGAGCTGTGCAAAGTTAATCAGAGAGTTGAAATCACAGAATCATGAAATCGCAGGGTTGGAAGGGACCTCAAGGATCACGAATCTCCAGCCCCCCTGCCACAGGCAGGGCTACGAAATGAGATGTTGCAGAAAGGGGCTGTGGGTGACGGGGGGTTTGCAGTCAGCTGAGCATTGTGAAATCTCTTGTATCTGCCTGAGCTCTGAAAGGAAATGCTTTATTAAATCTGCTTTGTGTGAGATTTCAAGCTGCCTCTGGACTGGAAAATAGGACCATTCCGTGTGGCATCTAATCAGAACTGAAGTCTTTAGTGCAGGATTTTCTGCAGAGCAGACTGATCAGCATAGACAAGTAACTCAGAGGTCTCAGCATTCAAAAAGCTGAATTAGACACAGTACGCCTGTGCTCTGCCATGCACCTCTCCTACACACAGTGTCCGCCAGAATGCTTCACGGAAGGAACCGTGCAGCAAGCCAGGCATTGGGAAGGCATCACAACTGGACATAAATGCACCCCACTGAATCCTAACCAGCCAACAGGTCTCAGCACCATTATCTCCATTTGCATTCCCACTGACACGTACGAGTTGCCATGACTGAAAAGATTCACTGAGTTTCCTTTTCACTGCCTGTCCTGAAGCCATTGATGTCTCTGCTTCGTGCTGAGATCTCACTGTGTTTTGGGAAGCTGCAGCCTCTGACCGCCTGTGTCCAGCACCCACTGGGCTTTGCTGTAAGCAGATGGGCAGCTCACGGCTCTGCAGGACAGCAGCACCACAAACACCTGCAGAAAGTAAACGCTAAAAAGCAATGGCAAGAGCCAGGCACCACAGAGTTGAGGACAAGGGAGAGGCTCCCGGAGCACACCCTGAGTCACACAAGCTCCCTTTTGCACGTCTTCTGCCTCCCTCTGTGCTTGGCCGTGTTTTCAGGAAAGTGAGACCTCATCAGAGACAGGAGAGGAAATATCAACCGGACTGCCTCCTCCTCAACCTCCCCTACTTCACACGTCAGCCTATCTGGAGCTGAGGAGGCTTAAATCTCACTCTGCCTGCTGGAAATCTCAGGGTTTCAGCTCCTGATCTGCTTTCTGCAAACTCCAGTGGGAAAGCGTCCCGTGGGCCGAGATGCACAGAGCATTCCCCCTTCCCTCGCACCGCCCCCGCTGCAGATGAGCTCTGTGCCTACCTTTTGTTGCTGACAAGAAGCAGGACTGAGCCATTCTGGATATTGGCTTCTTTCAAAGTCTCATGCTCTTCAAGCTGCCTGGAGTTGTAATAAAATGTCTTCTTCCAGGAAGTGACGCCCTCCCGCACCAGGTAAGCCCGTAGGTCCATCACTGTGTCTCTGGGCTTGACGGTCAGCGGCATCATCAGGTCCTCATCAGCCAAGTGCACCTTAATGTGGTACCTCTTCCAGCGGGAAAGGCTCCTTCGCAGCGTGTCCATCCTCTCCGGCTCTCCAGGGACAGTGTGGCAGAGAGGAGCATCCAGCTGGGAGGCAGGCAGAGCAGGGATGTGGCTCCGAAGAGGCTGTCTGCCTGCACAGCTTAAAATGTCCTGCCAAACCTGTTCCTCCCAGTTGCTGCACTGCATGCTTCTCATTCCAGGGAAGAGCTCACCTGGCTCCAAGAGTACTGGCTGGGAAATGCCTCCGTGAATCATTGCCACGCACCTCTAAATCCCATAATAATTACTGCGTCCTCACAAAGTGCCCTTCATTCCAATGGGTCTCAGAGGACTTTAAAGATGGACCTCTGTAGCCATTAGAAATGTGGGTGCGTTTGAGAAATGAATGGGTTTAGTAACCTCATGTCTGCTGTTCTCAAAAGCTGCCAACTGTGGCATAGCTCAGTTCAAAAAGTAGACATTGAGGAACCTCTCAGCTATTTAACATAATCATTTTAATTGAGAAAAATACTCTGCATAGTGAAAACTTCCTCATGGGGGGGAGCCACAGCATTTGGAAGGACATTCAGAGCCCAGCTGGTGTGAACTGCAGTGCTGGTTTGCCCTAGGAGATCTGTGTTGTAGGAGAATGGGCTGGGACCCTCCAAGAGGGGTAGGATTCATTGCTGCTCATAGCATCACATGTCTGGTGCTCACTCACACATGCTCCTTGGTGGTTCATCGGCTTGATTTCCTGTCCCTCACAGATCTCTGCCTAATTGAAGTATTGGCTGTATCCTGCTCTGACACGTGAGCTGAGATAGCACCTCGGGGCTGCAGGCTCACCATGCAAAAGGGACAGCAGAGGCCTCGGGAGCAAGCACTGCTCTGGTAGATGCAGTGATAGCTCCAAAGGGAAGGAAGCGATGCCCGCCGCAGGAGCTGGCTGTAATTGAACGATGCCGCAAGGCAGACTCAGGCGCTCACAAGATGATACTTCAGAGCAAACATCATCAAGATAAGGAAGTCTTTTTTTTTTCTTTTTCTCAAAAAGATCAAGTCACTCTTATCTTGTAGGTAATTTCCTGCAGCCCATATTACAGGAATTAATTCCCTTATCCATTCTTCTCAACACAGACTGGTATTTTCAGACCAAAGTACTGCAAGGTAGTTGTCCTAAGACACTGTTCTTCGCTAAAAAGGGCATTTTCTTGCCTATTAGATAATGAAACAAATTGACAGATTTTCAGATATGGCAGCAGTCAGCTCCCACTGAGCACGAGAGATGCGTCCCCTTTCCCACTGAGAAGCAAAAAGATTTCTGCCCGGTTTTCTCACCTCCTTTCTCTTTTCTCTCCCCAGTGCACTGTATCTTCACCAAGAACAGCAGCAAATGTCTTCAGCTATTCTATAGGCAATGGCGATTTCCCTGTGCACCTGATAGGAAATGAAGCTTCTGCTAGCAAGTGTTCCTTTCCAGATTCAGTCATTGTAAAGGTATGATTGTTTTGGTGGGGACTGGCATTCTTGGGTCCTCACTCTGCCACTGAGTTGCTGCAAAGGCTTGAGATGAGTCATGCCGTGCCTTCATGCTCATCGTGTCATTGCTGCGTGGTGTTAACATGTGTCCTTTAAGCACCCTGTGGGAAATAGGAACAGCTTTTAGCACAGTCACGCCCTCCTGCATGGCAGCAGTTATGAACAGAACGGATCTGCAGATATATCAATAATTTTCTTGAAGACAGGACATCACCACCGTTATTAGAGAGGAGAATGGGAGGCACAGAGCAGTACAAAGCTGTTAAAAAAAAAAGCCAGAAGTTGGGCTCTTGTCCCCATGTCTAGGAATCTCAGTGAAAAGCTGCATTTCCAGAGAACTACAGAAGCCTGCAAACCTGGACATGTTGCATCTTTCTCCATCGGGGTGACATTCACTCGGGGAGCCAGAATTTATCCCTGTTGTAACGCCAGAGTCTCGGGGGTAAAGAGGAGGTCTGATCCAATTCCCATTGCCATCCAAGGGCAGACTCTCATTGACGGCAGTCGGACCTGGATCACGCCCCAGACACGCTGAGGTCTAATGGCTCCAGCCAACAGAATTTGCCCGGTGAGTGCCAAGGGAAGCATAAGGCATTCTTATTTCGGCAGAGCCCGTCTGGTGTCAGCGAGTCCATCAGCTCCATCCTTCTCGCATCCATGACAGCCTGACAGCTGCCAGATACCTCCCTCAGACACCTTTCAGACGGCTCCTGTTTATTTTTAGGACAGCTCTTTCCAGATAAGGCTCAGATGTGTATAATTACAAAGAAAGGGAGATGGTCACAAAAAGGAAAACGCAATGGCGATCAGTTTTATTGTTTCTTTGCCTGCGGTGTGATTGCAGACTTTCTCACGTACCCCCACCCCGTGCTGGGAGCACTCCTTTCAGAAGAAGGGGTGATGTTTTAGCCTGTGAAAGCCAGGAGAAGGCGAGGCGTAGCGGTGAAGTCAGCTTATGAAATATTGAAGCAGTGAAACCCTCACTGGAACACGTGAATGGCTAATGCCAGTTCCAATTAATTTTGAATTTTTCATTAAACCATTATTAAAAGCAAGAGGACAGAAGAAATAAGGGAAATTGACTTGGGCAGTATATTAAGTACCTTCGTTTTGCTGGAGGATGTTTTATTATCTGTCCAAAGCAATTATTTCACAAGCTCCTGACGGTTTGTGGGCTAAACAGAAGTGCAGGATGAAGTTCTAGATGGTCTTTTCTTAAAGTTATTTTAATCCTCATCCTCTGCCCTGCCCTAATTGGGCGATATCTCTGGCGTGTCATATCTGGAGGACAAGACATGGAGTCAGAGTTCTGAGAACCTGCAATAATGTGTCGCCCTGGCATTATTTATAAATCAAATAAAAACCTATTGACTTAAGCATTTCCTCATATTGAGGGCAGACAGAAAATGTGCAAACACTTGAGAAACATTCATTAGGAAAGCCTCAAAAGCCATTTAAAACCTAGGTGGGCTATGATTTTTTTTTTAAGAACTAAAGCAACAGCATTTAATAAAACATCTCCTCCTCTGCTCTCTCCTCCTCTATACTCCATTGACTACAGCAAAAGAGAAACACCTGCTTAAATTAGGTGCTTCATTAACATGTCTCTTGTTGGTTGAGGTAATCCTAGGCCTTATAATATCTTCTTATGCTACCGGAATAGAGACACATATTTCTTAGCCTTTTTTTGGCAATGACTGTGTTTTGCTACCTGCTGTGCTGCTGTCCTTGCAGAGGAGGACAGAAAAGTGGGATGTTTCTCAATGAGAATAGAAAGGTTTCTCCATTTCTTGGTAGCAGTTGTAGGGAAATTGCAGCACCTGGGAAAAATACAGCCCTGATTCCCCTGCCTGTAAGTCCTTGGGGAAAGCAGCCTGTCAGCCCTGCCCTTTCAGGTCAGGGAGATCCTTTGCTGATTCTTGACGCCGTCTGATCCCAGCAGTCAGTAAAGCTGAAAACTTCACTCTTTTTCCTCTGTTTGCCTAGGACGAGTTGCGGTTAGAAAGACAGAAAACAAGGGATGAGGCATTAGAGATGACTGGTGAGGTTTACCATGTGCTTGCAGCTGTGTGTCACCAGGTACCAAAGAAGAGTTTTGTGTTAAATTTCCCTATGTCCATGATCCTGTGGGAGAGCACAGTCTCCATGCTACAATTGGAGCTCTTCTGCTCCATCACTCAGCAGTGCAGAGGGAGGCGCAGTGGTGTGAGCTCTGGGGCTGCTGGGGAGCACGGGGCTGGGAAGGGTTCACTCGCTGGCAGCGAATCCCGAGGTTTGACAGCAATAACCTACAGCTACAAATCTGCAAAATGCAGCCTGCCACTTAATTCATCCAGTGCTCCTGATATCTTAGGCAATGGGGCAGCTTTAGGTGCTGGTATTTATATTCCTGAAATACCCAGAGGCCCCAACTGGAGCTGTACCACCATGTGCCAAGTGCTTTGCAGATAAGAAGGATGAGTAAGGCCTTTTCTGTCACCCAGCGCTTGGTTATAAAATGACTGGGCTCATTTTAGATGTTGAGATACATCTACAGCAAATGAACAAAGAGCTAATAAATGATTAATAAATGCTTTGAAAAATGGCTAATTAAATGCAACAGCATTTTAGAGTGCAATGGAAAAGCACAAAACATGTAAGCTCAAGCGATAACGCTTCTTCTGATATGACTTATCTACAGCATGCTGCTTACATCTGCAAGAGTGCTTAGAAATATTATTAACATCTTGTGTACCAGGAATAAAGAGAGCTTTTCTGTGAAGGAAGAGCAATTCTCTCCTCGGGATAAGGGCAAATTCCTCATTGTTTAGGCCATCTGAAATCCAGAAAAACTAGAAGGCACCTATAGTAACACACACTGGGAGATGTGAGTGATGAGAGCAAGCTGACAGTGTTTGCATTGACCCTGCCCTGTTATCTGCCTGTCACGTCATAGGGTCCTGTGCTCCCAGGCCAGACATCCTCTCTGTTCCATTGGATTCTCATCCACCATCTCCCATTCTTGGCTGGCAAGGGGAAAATGCCTTTTCATCCTGCCCTGCTCCAGACAACAGTCAGGCTCTCTCCATCTGCTTCAGCAGCATAACAGATTTTTTTTTTAAATGTCACAAAAAGGGGGGGGCGATCCTGGTTGCATCCTCGTTGGTACAAACAAGGATTTCTACCACTAACAGTGCTAACATTACCAAGCCACATAGATCCTGCTGCCGTGTCTGTATTTGACTCCAAAAGGCCCCACAACTTCCCTTGCTTGCTGCCCTGCATCAATATTGCATTGGTGGGGGCAGCTGGACTCTGGGATGGGAGTTAAAATGAGTGTCGGAAAAAGCTGTGTATCTTCAGCTTTGAAGGAACAAACTTGCCTGGGTTTGGAACTGTGAGTTTTCTAAGTTGGATGAGAGCTGGTAACATTTTCTGGTGGAAAAGGGAAACGTGAAGGAAAATAATAAAAAACAGTAACGCAGATGTTAAATGAACCAGTCAGCTGCGAACAATGGAAAGCTGAAAAATGGATATGGGGAAAAGCATTTTGCGGTGTAGTTATTTCTTGCTGCAGTTCTTTATAACGTCCCAGATGGGAGATTCATGACCCTAGGAAGCAGTCTGTACGCTCCAGGGTTTGGCCTGCAGCAGCCCATGACTCACTCGCCTGCCAGGTTTGGCAGTAAGCTGAGAAACAAGCAAGATAGCAAAATGTCTTGTGGAAACAGCAAAACGAGAGATGAATTAACTGCTGGAAGAGTGAAAAAACAAACTTCTGTGCACAAAGGGGGGCCCTCAATGCAGAGAGCAAGCACTCATGCCACTGGGGACTCCAGAGGAGCCGGCCTCCCAGGCAGCCAGGTCCATCTGTTTGTAGGCAAAACAATCCAGGATGCTTCAGTCTTATATGGTGAAGTGGGCGGAAACAGAAGATTTGAGGTTCTACCCACAGCAGCAAGATGGTTTTCCATGGGCTCAAGGAAGGAAGATTTGTGGATCTACATTGCCATCTAATGGCAAGGAACAGCTTACAGCTTTCAGTGCTGCACAGAAACTGGCTGTAACAGCAGTAAGCGAGGGTGGCATGGTCTGCGGTGATTATTATCCTTTGGTCCAGAGCAGATCCTTCTCTGCAACAGAATGGTGGTCCCCAATGAAGGCAATACAGCTAGCCCAGAAAAGGGAAGGGTACCAAAGCCTTGGGATTGAGGCTGCTGATTCTTCCTCTTCTGGCATCCACTCCAGTTTCTTTGCCAGGAACACAAACATGGGGTGGGATTTCTTTCCTCTGGTGTACCACACACTGCACATGGACAAGCTTCCCAAGCAGGTGCACGTTTTGGGTTCTGAGTGAATCCTGCCATCCTATTCAAAACACTTCACTCAGCATCTCAGGTCTTCAGGACCCTGTTGACAAATACAGATAACCAGAGTTACATTTAAAAAGTAATATATTCTTGGATATAGGCTCAGGAAGGATAGATCTGTCCTTTTGGTCACACCTAGCCCAGCATCTTGTCTGCACCAGTGCTGAGTAATGGATATGTAACGAGAAAGTATCAGAAATACAATAGTACAGACTGATACTACCCTGCCTTATCCTTCATGCTGAGAGACAGCCCTGCAGGGAAATCCTACAAAGAAAATTCAGTGAGATGTGAGATTTTATGGATTCTGTCATTTCTAACTGAACATTTAAACAGAGATGACAGAAAGAGACAAGTTTGATGTTCATTCTAGTGCTACTGTCGTTACAGCACTCTGCTAATGATGCACCAGATTATGTAGTTCCTAGAACAGAAACTTTACATACAAGAGAGAGTTGTCTATTAGGAGATAATTACATTAAGAAACCAAAGGAAACTTGAGAAAGGGTTGTCAGCAGCCAGTTCCTTTGACTTTGACACATTTCTAGTCTTGACACACGTACATATGAACAGGAGTTGGAACTCACTGCAAGAGAGGAAGGTGATATTCAATGTCCAGGAGTTTCAAATAGAGCAGGAGCCTGGGGAGAGACTGAGGATATAAAGTGTCTGTTCCTTCCACATGGGCAGATGGGTCATGGTGTTCATTCCAACTAAATTCTGGGAAAAAAATAAATCAGAGTAGGGATTGAGAGTACTGAAAAAATTGACTTTAGTCCACAGGACCAAAAGAACCACCCCTGTCTGTTACAATGCTTGCTGTAACATGCTTCCCACACAGCGTGCTGCCAAAGAAATGAGCACACTGTCGAAGCATCCAGCTTCATTTCCTCCTGGTACCCTCTCCTCTTTACACATGGTCTTGCCAAGCCTTGCTAGGCCCAAACAATCCTGCTGAAGGAAGAGGGATAAACAAGGGATCTCTACCTACTGAACACGCTCCCACCTGCTCAATAAATGCATGGTTTGGAGGGCTTTTTCCTTTCTTGGTTGCTCGCCACTTCACAAGTCAAAGAAAGCCAAAGGCTGAGGGACTGGAGAGGATGTTTCAGGTATTTCTCTCCAGTAGGGAGGGAAATCGGATGAACCCGGTTGATGGACTGCACAGGATGATTTGTTCCTAGATGTTCCTTTCTAAAATGGCTCTGAGTCATGCCACAGCGCTGATCAGAAAAACATTCTTCCCGTAATAGAAACACAACAGCAAAAAAGCCCTGTTGAGTGTTCAGTTCTGAGTGCTCAGCCCTGACTCTGAGCCTGCAGCGGGAGAAGGGTAGGAGGGCTGGCTGGAAAGCCTCCTCCGCTCCCTCAGCAGTTGGAAACAACGCAGAAGCTGCAAGAGCCATTGCAGAAGCAGGCTGAAGCCTGCCGAAGGCTACATGCAGCTGCAGACCGGGGGAAAGGCATGCGTGGTCTTGCAGCTGCCTCCATGGAATGCGTTCCCACAGGTGCTGGGTCAGGTGGGGTGAGCACCGTCCTCCCGCTTTCTCCTCCACTCATTTCCAAAGCTGCACCCCAAAACCTGCCTCTTCAGAAAGGAACTACAAACAAAGCCTGCAGCACAGCCACCTCCACCTGAGTGGAGCCTGAAGGAGGCACAGAGCATGGCCGACCTCCAGAGCCTGTGAGCTGCAGCAATGGAAGAAAAGCTACTGAAGATACACATTGCTCCAAAGAGAGTGAGAAGAGATTGCTGTGGCCATTGGCCAAAGAACAGGGACACTGCAGTGTGGCTGCCAGCGTGCTGTACGTCCTCAGCAGTGCAGCGCAGGCCTGGGGCTGCACAGCCCACTGGCCTCCTGGCTGTCCATGCTTACCAGCACCTTTCTTACTGAGGGAGTCGGGTTTGTCCAGCTCAGAGGGACCTCGGTGTGGCCTTCAGTGCTGTAAGGGAACTTGTGAGCTGGAAGTGGAGAGACCGCACACGGTCTGATAGCGACAGGACACGGGGAAATGAAATCCCGCACTCAGAGCGCGGCGAGACGCCGGCACTGCCCAGAGCTGCGGGTGCCCCGTGGCCATGGATGAACCCCGGGCAGCGTCAGCTGGGCGGGCAGCCGGCCCAGCGTTGGACCTAAATCTCTGAGCTCCCTGCTGACATGAACCATCCTATGACTCTGCGGTGAGCAGCGCTGCCGTGGGTTCCCGACACCGATCCCGCAAGCTCAGCTCACCGGCCGACGGGCAGCACCGCCCCGGGCCGCCCCGCTCCGCGGTGGAGAGGCGCGCACGGCGCTCCGGGAGCTGTAGTCCCACCGCCCCCATCCGCCATCTTGGCGCCGCCAGAACTCCGCCCCGCGGCGCTGCCCGGCCGCCATCTTGGGTCGGGGGCGAAGCTGCCCTCGTGAGGCGGCGGCGGGGATCGGCGGGGCGGAGGGTTTGCTTCTTGTAGCAGTGAAAGCCTTGCTTTTATTTGGAATCGGGAAAGCTGAGAATCCCTCACAAAAAGCAAGCTGAGCGGCGTGGTGGTGCCCGTGAGGTGCTGGCTTCTCCTGTGGGTGTTGTGAGGCGTTTGCCTGGCGTCTGTTCTGTATGGAGCTTAGATTAATAAAGGCTTTGGTCGTTGTTAGGCCCCCGCCCCTGAGGTGTCCCCTGAGGGCTGTTCTGTGCTTTGTTTTGTAACGCGTGGATTTCTGTTGCAGGAATCCAAACAGGTGCTTTTAGGCCCCATTGTGCTGCGCAGCCAGGCCGTGCCCACAGCGCAGGGCTGCTGCCTGCAAGCGGCTGCGCTGAGCGGCTTTCTTTCGAGCACACGCTCACATGTCAACACTTCTGCTTTGTCAGAAGCTTAAAAATGGAAACAGTGCTCTCTTTAAGAAAGGGCCCAAATAAGGAGATGATGGAGTGGCGAGGATTCCTCCAGTGAGTGTTCTGGCTCATTCCTTACAAAGGCTGCGTGTGAAAGATAGAGGCCCACGGATCTGGGTTTTGTCCAGGGGTCTCCAGGTTTAAAGCTCCCTGCAGCCGCTTCAGCTCAGTTTCCCTGTGACTCGGCTGGGCACGACTTCTTTCTCTGCCCCAAAAGCATAAAGCTTTACTCTTCAGAACTCTTTTGGTTGTGTGAGAAACTCAGCCTGTCCTTCAGCAACAATGGAAGCTATCAAGAAAAAGATGCAGATGTTGAAGCTGGACAAGGAGAATGCAATTGATAGAGCAGAGCAGGCTGAAACGGATAAGAAGGCAGCTGAGGACAAATGCAAGCAGGCAAGTAGAAATAAAATCACAGATTGTGCACGTGGTGTGGAAATCAGTATGGTGAAGTGCTGTGCTGCACTCTGATTCCGAGAACAAAATTTGAGCTTCAGTTCTCCGTTAATTTGTTTTGAATTTTTTGCCTTTTTATTATGTTAAACTTGTACGGCCATTGTTGGGTATTAATGATCGTTTCTTCTGTCTTTGCAAAGCTAGCACTAGCTACGGATTTTTAAGACTATTTTGTCTCAGTTTTCTTAAATCATACATAATTGCTTTAATTTTCGTTTGCTCGTGATTCCATTGAAAAGACATGAAAAACTTCAAGTCAAAGCTGTAGATTGAACACCTGTAGGAACAGAGTTAATGCTGTCTGAAGTCAGCCGATGTTAATTGAGCCTCTCCTTGAAGTGAATTAATGAAGTTCTGCTGACTTGTCTGTGGTCCCGCAGTGCCTTTGGAGGTGCCTGCTGCGACTCGCCAGTAGGTGTGCTGTGTTATGATTTGTCAGCAATGATCAGAAATACCTTAATTTGCAAGGCCTAATTTTAATTGAATTATACTGATAGCATTTGCATATTCTATTGCTTTTTGTTTGTCTTTATTTTGGGTGCGTGCCTACCTCAATTCTGAGCTGTAATACTTTCAGAATGATCTTTAAATGTTTTGCTCACCATGTTCCAATTTGTTACTGAGCTTCTATAAAAGAATGCTCGTATCTTTTTATATTCTCTAAATGTGTTTCTTTCTGCTGCTTCTTCCAGATTGCCGTGTACATAATTATTTGGCCAAGTGTTTCTTCTGTCCAATCTGAGATCTTTGGGTGATGTAATTACATTTTTAATTGGCCATCCGTGTAGCTAAAGCGCCTCAAAAAAAAGTTTCCAAAAAGGCGAACTGCTGCCGCCTTCCTGCTCCACCCCAGCTCACGGAAAGCGCTTCATCTCTTTGTTGCGCTCGGAGGCTCCAGGCTCCACGCAGCACCGCGTGAATGCGGTCGCTGTATCTTCCACAGCCTGAGAGATGCAGCTCAGATGTGGTTCTGCCGGGCAACGCCGGCCCCCTTCCTGAGCTCAGTGGCATAGCAGCCCCAGCAGATGGTATTCAGTGTTAGTGGTGATGCGATGCTGAACCGCGCTTTGCATGCAGTTAGCAAAGGTGACTTCCTACAGACTGAACGGCGCATCTCTGGGAACTGTTAAGTATGAGGGTAATCTGCAATGAAAGGTGAAATAGAGGAAATAAGGCTTTGATCTGCCTTCTCTTCTCTGAATTGTACCCAGTTTTCCACCTCTTTTATTACTGTTTTTTTAACACAGGCGCACACAGGGATTTTAATGTCATACATGAAGGAAGCATCACTTCCTCCTGCTTGCTGTTCCCTGCTGAAGCACCCAGGGGAGCGTGTTCAGTGCTCTCACACTGAGGTTATTCTAAACAAAAGTACAGCAATGTCGCTGTGTTGAAGAACAGCTCGCTGCCAGGAATGCTGGTAAAGCTGTCCTGGATGCTAGAATGAAGAAGATACACGTACTGAAACATGAACTGTTTAGAGTGAACTGTTTGACACTCTAAATTTAGGTGAAAGCAGAGTCAAATGGTTAAATCAGTTTTCTCTACGGACTGAACTGCTTTGTATTGCAAATGGCAGGCGGGAGCAGATGGACTGCAGGCGCACCCTTATCAGCAGCAGCTCCTGATAATGCAAATTCCTTGGGAGTGTGAGGCGGTTCGTCACTAACCGCTCTCCCTGCAGGGTATAAATAGTTCTGTGTAGTGCACAGCATGGATTTATATGGTGCGGGATGGAGAGCACCTCGATGGCCAGGTTGGACCTGGGATGGTGGAGGTTGGGGCTGTCTGGGGCCCTCTGACCACCCCTCTGATGTGCAGAGCTGCAGCAGGGAACGGCTTAGACCTTAGAACTGTCCTTAGAGCTTAGAACTGTTCTTAGAAGTGTACCACAGTCAAAGAGTTTCCTAACAGTCCTGAGTTATTCTGTCACAACAAGCACAAGGACATAATTTTAAAACATTGTAAAATGCGCTGTAGAACTGCAGGATATTGTGGAGTCCAAAACACAAATGAGGTGTAAAGGGGACGATGCCAAGTTCTGCACTGAGCTACATCCTGTGCTGCTAGAGGACAGCGTGCTTTAATCGTCTTCCCTGGGATCCGCTGCCAGGCAGACATTGCCGGCCCTGGGTCTTCTGGGACTCCATGATATGAAAACTAAGGGAGAAGTTGTAGCCACGTCTCTGTGGTAATCCATCCAAATTCCTTTTTTTTCTCTTGAAAGGTCGAAGACGAGCTGGTAGCTCTGCAGAAAAAATTGAAAGGAACCGAAGATGAGCTGGATAAATACTCCGAGGCTCTGAAAGATGCCCAGGAAAAGCTGGAGCAGGCTGAAAAGAAGGCCACGGATGTATGTACCCACAGCCGGCTGCGCCCGGCTTTGCTGTGTGTGTGGGACGGGGCCGGTGCGAATCACCGGGCGTTGTTTGTTGCAGTACCTCGGTCAGGGGACGGGAAAGCGGCGCTACGTTTCAGGTACGTCCGGCTGCCGCCCGCCGCGCTGCCCGCTCCGCACCCCGCGCTGCCGCAGCGGCACACGGCACTGCACGGGGCGCCGGGCGGGAGGGACGGAGCCGCTCGGCAGCCGGGGGGGCGTCCGCTATACGCGAGCCGCGTTCCCGGGGCCCCGCTTGGCGCACGGCTCCGCTCGGCACACGGCTGCACCGCGCCGCCCCGCCCCGCACCGCCCGGAGCTGCCGGGCCCGGTTCCGCTCCTCCCGCGCCACCACGGGCCCGGACGCGGCCGGCGTCGCTTCGGCGTCCTCGGGGCGCGGCCGTGCCGGGGCTCCCGCGCGCCGCTCCTCTGCTGACGTCACCACCCCACCTCCCGCCGCGTGACGTCATCGGCCCATTGAAAGGCGCGGGGCCGCGCGCCGCCACGTGCAGCACCGCGCGCCCTGCCCGCCGCGCCCATGGCCGCGCCGAGCTCCCTGGAAGCGGTGAAGAGGAAGATCCAATGCCTGCAGCAGCAGGCGGACGAGGCGGAGGATCGCGCCCAGGTCCTGCAGCGGGAGCTGGACCTGGAACGGGACCTGCGGGAGAAAGTGAGACCGCCGGCTGCCCGCTCGCCTCTCTCGGTCGCTCTCTCCGGGCTGCCCGCTCCTTCCTTCCTGTCTCTGGCTCTCTCTCTGGCTGCACCCGGTGCGCCCCGCACCTCCCCGCGCTCCGCTCTCCACCGCGGGCACCGCGCCGGGCTCGGGCTGCGGGCTGCGGGCGGGGCGGCCGCTCGCTGGGAAAAAGCGCTGCATGACAACGGGCGGGGAGGTCCCGCCCCGGCGCCGCGCCGCCGGCTCAGGCACAGCTGGGAAATGTCCGAACTGCTGGAAAATAACTTTTCCCTCCCGGTTTTCCCTGAGAAATGGGAGCTCTCCAGCAGCGTGCCGCTCTCCCGGGGCCGGACAGCTGGTTTCACTTAGGTCTGTGTGCGATCAGCCCGCACGGCATCTTCCTGCTATTTTATCGCATGTCGGCGAGTTAGTTTTACCGTATATGGAGCGCGGGCTGCGGCAGAGGTGGGGCCGGGCGGCTCCCGAGGGTCCGCGCCGCGGCTCCGGGATCGCGGTCGGTGGGAGCGGCCCGGCCGGAGCCAGAAGCGGCGGTGCTCGGACCGGATGCCAGAGTGCTGCGTGAGCGATGCCTTGTGTGTGAACCCAGTAAGTTAAACACGGAGCGAACCAGAGCCCGGGCGGCTCGGGACCGGAGTCGGGCGTCGGCTGCCAGCCGGGTCGGCCGCTGAGCTCCTCCCAGCGTCCTCACGAGGGGAAACCGCGTCCTCGGGCTGAGGAGCGGCTGGAAGCGGCGGGGAGCTGCTCCGCCACGGGAGTCTGCGCAGCCGTAACGAGGAGCGCTCTGCCCGCAGCCCCCAGCGCTGCTTTCTGGGAAGGGTGGCACGACAGGGTTAGGGACACACGACACTGATTAGCTGAGCGATCCCGGCCTTACCAAAGTATGGCTTTTCTCTTCAAAGATGAAGCGATTAAAGGAGCCGTGTCTTAATAAACACGATGTTTTATGAACGCTCATCTGTTTGCATCGTGCATAGGCAGGCATCTCCGTTTGTTGTGTAGTGATTTTGGAATGAGCAGTTAACTGCTGCTTGGCTTTCTGAATGACACCGACCTCATTCCAAACTGTTTGCTGCACAGCTCCTTAAGTACCACAGGAAGTGATGGAAAAGGATTTATTTTCAGCACGTATTTAATTTTGCCCTATTTCTGTTACAAAGCAGAGCACCTCACTCTGCAGCTGGCCCTGCCTCGCTGAGCAGAAGGGCTGCATTTGCTGCTCATTGTGCAGGGCCGGTACCATCAGTCTGTGATGGAACCAAGAGTTTACAACCAGACATGAAGGCTTTGGAACAAGGCATTACGTTTGAGTTTGAGGTCTGCAGGTAGATCTGTCCGTTTTTATCAGTGCTGGGTCCTTTGTTGTGTGCCAGGAATGAGGAGTACCAGCAAAAAAAGGAAGGGGGAAGCAGTGCTGTGTACCTTGACATTCCTGAGATGCCATTGCTTAAACAAACAAAAAGCGGGGAGAGAGGAAAAGGGTTTGAGAGCCGCTGTGCTGCAGCGGTGCGGCGCGGGGCTCAGCTCCCTGCTGTGTCTGCAGGCGGAAGGCGAGGTGGCGGCGCTCAACAGACGCATCCAGCTGGTGGAAGAGGAGCTGGACCGGGCCCAGGAGCGCCTGGCCACAGCCCTACAGAAACTGGAGGAGGCCGAAAAAGCGGCGGATGAGAGCGAGAGGTAACCTTCCCTTTGGGCTTCCCTCGCTTTCTCTCTTTCCTTCTTTTCATTTTGTGTAAAGGATAAAATCAAATACACACAGAACGTTCCAGCATCTGCGTGTGCTAACGTGCTCTGCAGACGCTGAACTTCAGGTGCCTTTTTTTTTCTCTTTTAAAACTACTTTAAATGAGTAATTCTATCAGCTTGGAAGAACCTGAGGGTTGGTTGTAATGGGGCCCTTTTTGGTTACAAATATTGAATTCCACTTGGGGGCTTTTGATACAAAATTGCTAAAGTGTTTCTACGGTCAGCATAATTGCTTTGGCTTCTGCAGAGGAATGAAAGTTATTGAGAACAGAGCAATGAAAGATGAAGAAAAAATGGAAATTCAGGAAATGCAGCTGAAGGAGGCCAAGCATATTGCTGAGGAGGCCGACCGCAAATATGAAGAGGTGAGGAATGTGTAGAAGGGGAACTGATAGAATGATGGGAGACCCAAGGACAACATTGGTGTTCTTCGCTTTGATCATTTTTTGTACATTTCTCACACTGTGATGGTGCACCTTTAGAATACTCCCTAAAAGGAGTAATTTTAATTGTGACTTTTGCAGCATTGTAGGTATTTGATTCTATAAAAACTGCAAAGTCTGACTTTGGGAAAAATGTGTGTCTCATTTGTGCACAAACGTTGCGCTGCGCTGTCGCTGCTCAGAAGGGAAGCAGGGGCAGATCAGCGCCGTGTGAACGCTGTGCTCTCTTCTCAGGTTGCCCGCAAGCTGGTGATTCTGGAGGGGGAGTTGGAAAGAGCTGAAGAGCGCGCAGAGGTGTCCGAAGTGTGAGTAGTTTACACAGCTGCAGGTTTAGAATGGAGGCTCAAACATCTCGAGGGAAAAATCTACTCATGGGGGAGCACACAGTGCTTGGAAATGGCTTTGTGCCCCATGTGCCCAACTTCCTGCTTTCAAACTTAACTATTTTTTTTTTTTTAAACATATATTTTTAGACTTCTTCTAAGTAAAATCAAACTGCAGCAGAGTGGTGACCTCTACTTTCTTTTCTTTTCTTTTTTTTTTTTTTGGCCTGTAGTAAATGTAGTGACCTTGAAGAGGAGTTGAAGAATGTTACAAACAATCTGAAGTCTTTGGAAGCTCAATCTGAAAAGGTTGGTTCTTTCAGTAAACTACAGGATGGGGACAAGGTCAAAACCTGTAATTAAAATGCACAGAAATGCAAAGAAATGAAGAGGGGTTACCTGCCTTCCTGTTCCAAGAGGCCATCAATAATGCTGCATCATCTCTCTCTGCGCATTCAGCTGTTTTGTGCTGCACGAGAAAATAAAGTCTAAATTGATGCATGAAGTGGTTTGGACATCATCAGGCTCACGGTGATGGTACAGAAATCAGAGTCTGAGGTGTCTCAGAAGTGCGCAGAGTGCATGCAGCTGTTGTGAAAAGGAAAGCAGTTGTAAATAGATCACGTTTCCATAAACATCTATTGCTGCTGCAACTGCCCTTCAGGAGTGTGTATTGCTTCCACAGTACTCGGAAAAGGAAGATAAGTATGAAGAGGAAATCAAGATTCTCTCTGACAAGCTTAAAGAGGTGAGTCCAGCCCTCCCCAGGCGGCTTTGGCGGCGTTTTTTAGCAGCGCTCAGTTATTCTATTTAATATTCCTAGGCTGAAACTCGTGCCGAGTTTGCTGAGAGAACAGTTGCCAAACTGGAGAAGTCCATTGATGATCTGGAAGGTATGGAATTACGCATTGCTTTTAAAATGGGTGTTGTATCTTACTGGGAAAGGACAGAAGCATCCCCCTGCTGTCCCGGTGGGCTGCGCAGGCTGTGCTGCCTCGTGGCTCTGGAAGAGATTCTCGTTCAAAACCTTGTGAACAAAACTTTTTGGCCAACTCACACACGTAGAATCTTAAGAACCATTTCAATTAGTAACAAAATCATAACGCTAGTTAGCCTGATGACTGAAAAATGACGGTGAGATTTATTTAAAAAAGCACAGATGAAACGCCTGGCCTGGCAGCTTATTTCTACGTATTCCTACTTTCGCACTGCTGCTCAATCACAGATCTGTTTTCGTCTTTTGTTTTCCCCTCCAACTGCTTTGCTTGCTGCCTTCTCCTGTCCTCGTGCCCTCTGCTGTCCGCCTTTCCCTCTGGCTGCTCTCCACTGCCCGGCAGACGAGCTGTACGCTCAGAAGCTGAAGTACAAAGCAATCAGCGAGGAGCTGGACCACGCGCTCAATGACATGACCTCGCTGTAGTTTGCTCCTCTCGGCGGTGCCACCTGCTGCATCTCTTATGCTCTTCCTGCCTGTAATTCCTGCCGTTCTGTGCAGTCCTAAAGCGATCCTTCGGTCTGATCCTTCTCTGTAAGAACTCAATAAAAATCAGATCCCTCTACCTTTCAGCTTTGGGGCTTTCTTTCCTTATAACCCGCTGAAAATACAGCAGTGATGACGCTGTAAGTAAATACAGCAGCACCTCATTGTGAGAGCGACGGCAAAAGAAAAGCCGCGTTGTTTCCCGTGAATCTCACGGTACGTTTTTAATTCGAGGAGCAAAGCCGCATCGTCTGTTTTAAGTCTATTCTTTTCTCCCTTCTCACCAGACAAACTCGCTCAAGCAAAGGAGGAGAACCTGGGGCTGCACCAGACGCTGGACCAGACGTTAAACGAACTGAACTGTATATGACGCCGAGCGGAACCCCGCGGCCCGAAAGCGCCGCCCGCCCTCAGCGCGTCCCCGCCGCCCCCAGCGCTCCGACACACCGGAGCCCGGCGCGGTTCCGCGGGGCGCCGCGCGCATTAAACGCTTTTCTCGTAACCCCGCCGCTCCGCTCCTTGCGCCGCGCCGCCCCTCGGGTGACGTCACGAGCCGGCACGCCACGTGACGCTGCCCGCGCGCCCCGGCCCCTCCCTCCGGCTTCGACTTCCGCCCGGGGCGGGAAGTGACGTCGCGCCGGGCGCGCGCGGCGGGGAGCGCGACCAATCGCGCGGCCGCTTACGCCGCGAGCGGAGTCCAATGGAGCGGCGGCTCGGGGCTCCGCCCCCCGGGTTCGGCGGCGACGCGGCGCTCCGCTCGACCAATCGGCGCGCTGCGGGCGGTGACGGGCGGCGGGTGCGGCCCGTGAGGCGGCGCGGGGGGCGGGCGGTGCCGCAGGGGCGGCGCCCGGGAACATGGCGAAGACGTACGACTATCTGTTCAAGCTGCTGCTCATCGGCGACTCGGGCGTGGGGAAGACGTGCGCGCTCTTCCGCTTCTCCGAGGATGCCTTCAACGCCACCTTCATCTCCACCATCGGTGCGCGGGGCCGAGTGGTGCCGCAGCCCCCGCGGGCGGCGCTGCCGAGCTGTGCGGTGCGGGCCGCCTCGCTCCCTGCGGCGCTGAGCCGCGGCCCGAAGCCCGGCTCCCCGGGCGGCCTCCGCTCGCTTTCCTCGTGGGAAGGCGGCGAAGCCGGAGCGGGGGTACCAGAGGGAAAACCTTGTTTGGTTCTCTGTAGAAAGTAAAAGTAATTCAGTTGTTTCTCGTTCCAGGCATTGATTTTAAGATTAGAACTATAGAGCTAGATGGCAAGAGAATCAAGCTGCAGATATGGTAAGGCTCGTTTATGAGCTCCACGCGTTGACAGCCGGTGTCGGTGCTGCGGCGTAGCGCCGTTACTTTTGCGTGCGGTTTTGCTTTTCGGCAGCTGGTTGTCGTCAAAACAAAAGCAGTTTTAGTGCACGTGAACGCCGCCGCGCGATGTGAGCACTGAGGTGGGAGGTGAGCGAGCCCCCGTTCTGTCTGTTTGCAGGGATACCGCCGGGCAGGAGCGATTCCGCACCATCACAACGGCGTACTACAGAGGGGCCATGGTAGGAGCGCGGCGCGGGCGGTTCGGCTCCAGCAGAGAGCGCGGCCTGCGGGCGGAACCGCCCTGCAGTTGGCCGAGTGCCGGTGCGGTGCCGGGCGCTGGGCGCTGGGCGGCCGCCGTGACTCAGTGCGAGCTCACGCCCCGTCGCCGCGTCGCACAGCGCGCGCTGACGTTCCGGGTTGTGCTGAAACAGCTCTTCTTTATCTGTCCCTTCTGATACGGACGGGTCTTTTAACTGCTGCTTAGACTGGTGGTCGCTGAAAGAGGTATCTGTCTCCTTGTTCCTTAGGGCATTATGTTAGTCTATGACATCACCAATGAAAAGTCTTTCGAAAACATTCGGAACTGGGTCAGGAACATCGAAGAGGTAATTCCTCTGTTTACTTGATGTTAAAGGTGCTGTTTCTCCTTCCAAAAGCAGTTAGAAACTAAATACTTCAGAAATGTTGCTTTCAAACTCAAAGTAGAAAAGAAAATCAGGAATAACTGCCGGAATGCATTGGCTAACAGTAATTTGTTGTGCGTGCGTACAGAGCGTGCTTTTGATTTTGTTTTCCTGGCACAAGTGAGCTCAGAGCTGAGCACGGAGCAGTCGGTGCCTGCAGTGCAGTGCTGGGGTCAGATGCTGTGCAGCTCAGACACCTACAGAGAGTGCTTAGCACCAGCGTGTCCATTTTTAGTTCCTGATGGACACCTCATCTTTTGGCAGTACTTGTAAGACATAAGCAGAAGTCCTTTCTTTTATCTGTTTCTATCTCAGCATGCCTCTCCAGACGTCGAAAAAATGATCCTTGGGAACAAATGTGATGCAAATGACAAAAGACAAGTTTCCAGAGAGCAAGGGGAGAAGGTAAGTGCCACAGGCTGCGCCCCGTTGTGCTGCGCCCGGGTGCTGAGGGTGAAGGCAGCGTGCGAAGGCGGTGCTCCGGGGTGTCTGTAAAGCCTGCTGAGTTCCCTCCTGCCAGCACTGATGCAGTTGCTGCCTGAGCAGAAGCAGTCTGTGCTGCAGCCTCAGGAGAACCTGGTCTGAAGTGATGCAGTTCTTCTCAGAGAACTGAGGCATGGTGATGTTCCCTCTTGGATTTGGTCTTCATGCACTTTCTCCTGAGCTGAGCAATGAAGTCCTCTTTATGAACATTAAAATACCTTTTATTCATTAATTTCCCACTTCTGAAGCAGTCATTACTATCATTCCCTGGTCCGTGCAGTGAATGCACCTCCTGCCCCGCAGTGTCCCCACTTTAAGGTGTGCTGACAGAGCTGTCAGAGTGTAAGAGCAGCATTCATTACTGTGTGTGTGCTTCCTCAGTGGCTCACTGGTACTTCTGAGTGCAGCTCCTGAATGCTTCCCAAGCTGCAGTTGCAAAATATTTTCCCAGTCCAACAAAAAGATGAGTCTGTGTAGAATGCTGATGGATTATCTGCTTGAGACATGTTAGATGCCAAGTAACTGGCTGAATTGTCAGCCAAAGAAAGAAGAGCATTTAGGAATGGCTGTTCATTGCATTTATGGCCATTCCTGCAGCCACCCAACTAACACCAAACCTGCTTTTGTTCAGCTTGCAGCGAGCTTTGGAATTAAATTCATGGAGACCAGCGCAAAAGCAAATATAAACATAGAGAATGTAAGTACTGCAACCTTTCTCTTGTATTTATTATCTTATAAAGTGTGCAGATCAGCAGTAAGAGCAGTTGCCCCTCTTGACTGGGTGCGAAACTCAACTGCAGATACTTCACATGGGCTACTAAAGTCAGGAGGGCAGATTATTATTAAACAAAACAGCTAAGAGCGTGTTTTATTAACTGCATTCCTTCAACTGTTTTCCTTATGCAGGCATTTTTCACTCTTGCCAGAGATATCAAAGCAAAAATGGACAAGAAGTTGGTAAGTGACTTCTACTTAGGCTAAGCTGTGTTTAAATGGAGAGGAAAAAACGTAAGAATTAACACCAAGAACTGCATCACAGCAAATGGCCTCTCGTGGCCTCTGACCAGAACGCGCTGAAGGTCACAGAGGTTGTCTTTAGTTTCAGTGAGCTGTGCTCTGCCCATGGCTTATAAACCATTGTGTCTGCATTTCACGAATCAGCTGCAGTGGTTGATGTTCTCTGAACAAAATTTTTCAGTGTGTTTTTTAGAAAGCCACATGAGTGGTAGAGGAGAGCTGCTAACGGTATTTCTTGCTCCTGCAGTCAGGAAAAGTGAATGGTATAAGGTTAGAGTATGGAAGGTCTGCTTCACACTTTGTTAGCTTCATTTCATGAAGAAAATCCCATCACTTCTACTTGTACCAACACCCTGACGTACTGAGCACAAACCAAACACGTCCTGTAACTTTTGTGGTCTCTGCTGTCTTTGGCTTGATGGAAAGGAGAGCAGGCTCTGTGCTTGTTGGTCAAAGCCAAAAGTAGGATGTGCAGCTCTGACTTTTCACAGAGGCTGATGCAACCGAAGGGTCAAATAAATGAGTGAAAGCTCCTGCTGATTTCTAGTAATATTTTTTGTATAATTACAGATTTGATTCATCAAAACGTAGAGTTGAAATATAGGCAGTAGAAGCTGTTAAGTATAAATAAGTAACTGAAATTCTTTGCATCTTCAGGAAGGCAATAGCCCACAGGGCAGCAACCAGGGAGTCAAAATCACACCAGACCAGCAAAAGAAAAGCAGCTTTTTCCGATGTGTTCTTCTGTGAGGGACACAGCCTTAATCTGAGCGCCTGCTCAGCCCAACTGGACTGTGCCTGCTCTGAGTGAGACTTCTCTGTCTGTGGACTGTAGCGTTTCCAGCAAACCTTGTCACTCTGTGACCATCTGAATAAGAAATTGTTTATTTTAGTAATTGTCTGACTCTTCAATTTTGGAGATGAAACAAGTTTATTTTTGTCAGATTGCCACTGGGCAGGCATTGTGTGGCAGAGGAGCACAGATCGAACGTGACCTGTAAGAGCACCTCTGCTGACAGGCTTCAATCTCACTGTTTGTATCTCTAGCGTATCCAAATTAGAAAGATGAAGTTATAATCAAAATCAGAAACTGAAATGCCAATATCAATAAAGTACAGGTGCATGTACTTGGTACATCTGCAGATCTGTGTCTGGATGCATATAAAGCAGCTGCAGCAAAGCAACGATGAATGCACTCACGTAGGCAGTCCGGGCTGCGCCTTCCCAGAGGCTATAAGGAAGCTTTCTGCACAACTCCTTGCTACTAGGGAGACAACTCCTCGAGCTGCTCTTCTTACTCAGCTGTGTTGTTGTAGACAATCCATGAGTACAAGTGGAGTTTAAAGGAAATTGAAAGGAATCTGTTTTTTAGGGAAAGCAAAGTGTGCTGTAGGGGTGCTGGTTCCGCACTGCCAGGAGTTCCTTTAGCTGGGTTACAGATGACCAGACTTAATTAAGCGGGCTGCACATCCAGCAGGAGAGCTGCAGATGTTCTGCACTCGGTTTTTGGGGAAACAGCCCCCAGGGACACGTATCCCACCTGGACACCCCAGGGAGCAGCTCTTCCTTCTCTAGTTGAAAAGGCCCCCGATCTGTCCTGAT